GCACCAGCACCAGCACCCGCAGCAGCACGCCCCAAGAAAACGTCGATCCAGCACCAGCACCCGCACCAGCACCCCCGAACAAAACGGCGATTTAGCACTAGCACCTGCACCAGCGCGCCTAAACATGGATAGTCCGGGCCGGTCCGGGCGGGCCGGGCCACCTGACGCAGTGGGCAAAGGACGAATCTATGCGATCTAGGCGTATACACAAACACGTTATAGAGGATGGATCGGAGTTTTGATTAAACCCTTTTTGGTCGAGTAAGGGCCAAACCCTTGGATTTGGGGTTTGGGATCAAGATGTAAACTCCTCCACAGATCCCCCTCACTCGATCACAAAGGGTTTGCATCCTGATCCAAGCCCCAAACCCAAGGATATGAATATCAATCGACCAGAAGGGGTTTCACCAAAACTAAGCCCAAATACAGCTCCGTAGACCGACAACAGCAGAAAGGGGTCTATTCATACAGACTAAACACACCTTGCCAATCCCTCCTCTAACATGTTTGTGGATACGTCTAGATCGCATAGATTCGTCCTTTGCCAACTGCGTCAGCTGGCCTCCTGACGGCCGTGCCGGGGAAGGGAGTTCGCCTGGGCCGGGCCTTGGGCCGGGCCGGGGTCAACGGTAGACCCGGCTATCCATGCTAAAGCAAACGCCGATCCAGCACCCAGCACCAGCACCTGCACCTGCACCAGCATGCCCCAACAAAACACCGATCCAGCATTACGCAACGCGGATCCAGAGCCACACCCCCTTATAGTTTGCAGCTATCCGGGGAACAATTCAAAAAAACGCAGAAGTCTGTAGCACAAGAAACGTTCCCCATAGCTACAGCTACGGAGTATTCCGGCACCTCGACAATCAAGACCAACGGATGGCCGGCCAGCTGGGATGACTGGCCCATGGCTGGGATGACCGGCCCGCATTTCTTCAGGTCAAGGAAAAGTGGTCTCGTACCTGGGAAAGGTGGCGATCACATGATGCGGATCTTAGTCGATCTTATTGGCTCATAGAACGAACCTTTCTGGGGGGATTGGTTCCGCCTAAGAACAGGAGGACAAAGGATGAACAAGGTTAAAGTGTATTTCTTCATGGATGCAAAGTGAGCCCCTTCGAGACCCTTTGTGCTTTAACATCGCAGGTGGTCCTGATGTTGAACGACACTGCCAATGCGGTCTTGGCATGCGACTAGCTGGAGATCGGGAAGTGGTGGTGCCAGTAACAAGAGTCGATGGCAGAGCAAATCTGATATATATTTTTTTTAACCACCCTACTACAACGTTGTAGGGTCTCAATCCAAACCTCGCTCTTTGTGAAACAACACATAACAATACTGTTTTGGAAATTCGCCTGTTTCCTTCAGAAAACATTGTTATGTCTTTCATTGATCCTGTAAAATTGTAAGGTTTGGGTGCATACGGTATTTAAATGTATGAAAACACCGTGCGCTCCAACTCAAAATGAAAGTGGATAGTGACGGATCATGTATCATCTTCGGGGTTACTTTGTACTTGCTGTTTGTGATGCATTCTTCTGGCAAAAAAATATAATCAATTTTGGCCGTGACATGTCGTCACGCTGTTTGCATTCGGGGAAGGCAACCTCATTCTGTCTAAAAAGTCATCAAGTGGACATCAATAGTTTATAGATGGCCCACATGAAAAAGGATTGGTCAGAGTAGATAGTTCCACAATGTGTGTTCAATTTGGTTGTTTACAGTATAGTGTTTAGTATAAGCCCTGTTCCTTCAGATCCAGCTTTTTATGTTCAATATAATATATACGGGTGCAAAACGTGGTTTGACTTGATGCATTCTATTCCAAAGTATACATACCGACATGGTCCTGTAGAAGCACGTTCTTGCCACTCATGTTCCGCAAGTGGAGTAGATTCCTGGACCCATCTCAGACCATTCACCAACGATTGTTCACGCGGGGGATGGCGAGGAGCAGAACACTGTCGAGACATGTCACGACATGTCGAGGACCAGAACGGAAGGTTGACTTGTCCTGCGCGTGGTGACAGGGTCGCGCAGACTTGGAGTGAGGGAAACCCATCGTGTTTGGGTGGTAACTGTCTCTAGGCATCCACTGCGGACCCTGGACCGGCCGGGCAGGTACGACTGGACCCGAAACGTGTCGATCACCGAACACCCGAAGGATCTGGACGGTCGGCTGATGGGGGGGTTGTTTGGATTAATGGCGCCTTGGTTTTTGGGAACCGAACACATGCATAGCTCAGCATGTTTTAGTTCAATTCAGGACATGCAAACAAAAACATCGAAAACTACAGAATTGGATCATGCTGGATTTCTTGTGCTACAGATGTTTCTTTCTTCACCTCATCCGGTCAAAACCATGGCATGGTTTTGCACATGTTTTGAGCCTCGTAGCCAAGGGTGAAGGTGAGTGAATACGTGCTTCGCTCAGGTGAGCAGGCGATCATCAAAGCCAAGTTGGATCGGTTGAATCCCACAGATCTCCAGCGCCATGGGCTGAAAGGTGGTGGAAAGGTCCGGTGAGAACGGGCGGTTGGGTGGAGGGTGGACGTGGATGTCTACCCAAAATAGGAGGTTTGTGGTTCAACTCAACCCAAACACGGACCTGAATAGGGGGGAGGGAGTTGGATGGTTCCTGGAGCGCCTGGAGTCGAGTCGATAAGAAAACTCGTACCTGGGAACATGGGTACTGACAGTCGTACCTGTTGTTTTAGAGAGCGGGTGTGCTTGGGAGAGCACACACTAGCTCAAAACCTCTAGAAAACACTGTAAATACCGCGCAACATTTCAACAACTGCTCTGGGACCTAGGCGAAACGCATATTGTTCAACCTTCCTGTGCCCAGTCTGGATGTGCAATGTCAATTACAACAATTAGCAGCTCTTCGTTTGCCCACTATCAATGTGTAACACCAATTACAAGTAGGTTAGTCTTTCTCTGCGCGCAAGGAATGCAGTATATATATAATGCATGCATATACATATATATACATCAAGATGAACATGTATGTCAATCAAATTGCTTCAGTCTCTGGCTTATCTTGCTTTTCATGACGTATTTTTACGTGTCCCTGTTGTAAAAAACATCTCCCAGGAGCACCCGTTCTGTTTGTTTTTTATGGGGTCAGACGTCCCATTTTCGAAGGTACGAACTGGACCCTCCCAGTTCTTTCTTCCATCTCTTAATTGATCGCTTTGACAATGCCACGGACTAATCACTGTTCAGCAAACTGCCGCGGATCCCGCTGCAACTGAAACTGTACTTTGTCAGGAACTACCAGGGCATTTCTACTAGCTTATAAGTTGCTCGGCCCAACTCATGGTTTAACTATGTTTAAACTATAGCTCTATACTTAGGCTGCTTGGCCCACTCTAGTGGTATTCACTTGGAGCCATCAACATCCATCGATGGGACAAGATGCAATTGGACATACAGTGCATACTCCAAAGTACCCTAGAATATGGGACATGACCCCCTATAGAAAAGGTGCATGTACCCATTTTCTGAGGTACTGTTTGAGATGCCAGATCCAGATATAGTCATTTGATGTCAGTTGAAATGTTGGATGGCTAGAGTGTAAGCTATTCCTAAAAGACGTATATAAAAACTGTGACCATTGTCCTCTTGATATTTGAACTGTTCATAACGTTGATTTTTCGTTCGCTATCGAACATGAACAGGTGAAAAGCAAATCCGAGGGTACTTCCGTCGCATTGCCTCCTCTAGTTGAACAAATCAAGGCAGGGAAGTGGCTTGTCACAGGCAGGTGAACACTTTGGTTACAGTCCCTGGAACTACTCTCCCTGGAATTCACATGGAAGTGGAGTTCACCACCTGTTTGTAGTGAATTTCATGGTCTTCCTGACTCGGGGCCATCCACGTAACCATGTTAGTTCCAGGGAGTGTGGTTACGTAGAGTTCATCCCATGATTGGTCTTCGGAACCTGGTCTTCCGAGCCTTTGGGGCTATGCCATCCGCCCATGGCCCAGCTCCGGGTACACTCCGACAGCTGGGCCATGGGAGCGTGGGAGTGAAGACCCTGTCGTTGGTAGGAAAGCAGTCTTCGTTGGATCGTTGGACGATGCCATCGTAACCATCGCTTCGTTCGTGAGAGACACCGGACGCCTTTCTTCTCCTAGGGATCTTTGGCTCCAAACTCACTCACGCGTCGTGTCCCCAGGTCCATCGACACGGCCATCGCGCTGCTGTCCAACGAAGTCCTCATGACGTCCAACGTGCATGGACTGCGGCTGGTCCTCACAGGCCCTGGTTCGATGTTGAACGAGACTCTTCGACACGGAGTCCTGCCGAAGTCCTCGAAACCGGGCACCCGGAATCCCGTAACTTGCACCAGGAAGCAGTGATCAACGGATCGGTTTTGTTGAGTGTTTCAGTTTGCGCATTATGTATTTGCTTTGAGGGATTGGCAAAGACCCACATGGAACGCACCACATCATCACAGGCAATGCCTGGTTGCAATTCATTGGCAATGTTTGGTTGCCTGGTTCAACCCTCGTCATCACTCAATCTCAGATTGTGGCCCCTGAAAGGGGGGGATGACAAGGAGGTGAGAGGCCCAGCTCTCCAACATGTGGGATTACCGGCATGCCCAGCAAAGACATGCAGAAATTATATGCTGTAATCAGTTGAGAACTAGGTTTGTATATTTATAGGTAGATGCCCAACCGACGGGTTTGTGTCTATATTCCTTGGTCCAGGGGGTCTGTGGGAGGTCTCCCGGATTTGAGTACACACCCAAGTGGCTTCCGAAGAGAACGTTTGTAAGGGTGATTCTGGATGGAACGAGCAACGGACTTCAAGCACAAATATAATGTGTGTGTTTGTCCCACTGAAGTCAAGGCAGTTCTTCTTCGGGTCATCTGAAGACCATTCTTTGATTAGTCTCGGACTCGCAGGGAAGGATGATGTCGATGGTTTACAGTCTGAAATCCACTGGCTGGGTCCTTTTTTCATTTTGATAGACTCCTGGCCCGTAGAGTGTTACAAGTACCTCTTAAACTACGCGCACTCCATTTCCCACCCCCACCACGGGTACATGAAGAACACGGCCAACACCTCCAAAATTCAGAGACCTCGTGGTGAAACGATGAAACTTGAACTTGCAGCAATGGCTTTTGGTCCGACTGTCCCTTCTTCCAGGAAGTCGTTGCCTGGGAGGTCTCCCTATGTTTAAAACACGATGTCGGCTTCATATCTCCCTAAAACTCATTTCCAGTTCCCGGCCTCTTCGCCCACGGCCGCCCGCTCGCAGGTGCCAATCGCCGCAGCATCGTGCCCCCCACGGCGCTCGGCGTGGCCGAGCCAGACATGGCAACGTGGCGAAGAGAGGGGCAAAGCCGTTCCGCTGTCCTGTGCAGAAGCTGCTCACCTTTTTGAGTGATTTGTGTCCGTGGAAAAAGGGGTGAACCGTTTTTGCCCCCATGTTCTATCGGAAACTGATGGGAATCAGCATCTGAAGCATGCCCAACTCGTGCAACATGTCGGTGCCCAAGACCCCTAGGGCTTCTGCCTCCCACCTGAGGATGACCATCGCATGCCTACCACGACATACGAGTGGATCATCATATCCCAAACACTCCATATTGTCTATGGTCCATAATATGGCTACCTTGACTCCTGAAACCACCCCAATGTAATTATATATAGGTAAATAAATATGAAATATATGGCATTCATGGAGTGTCTGGGAATGTTTGGGATATATAAGTTTGATTGGGACATCATCAACTCCCGATGACAGTCAGAGACCTTTTCTGCAGCAAGTCGCAAACGCGCGTTCAACGCGACCAACATCCTGTGACACTTCCAAACTTCTTCAGTCCTAGCCTAGAAAACTGTCTTAACAAAAACAGTTCATGACACCCTCCAAAAATGGCACGTTTCCTTTTGACCCATGCAGAACTGATTCCGAAATCGGAACAGGTGGACCAAAAGCAGGTCGGACTTCGACTGATGTGGACGTCAGTTTTCACCCCATGCCAATAGGCTCCGGTCCAGGCAACTTGTGGTTGTCCAACATCTCATTAATACTCAATGATTGTTTCTACCTAATACGCGACCATCCTACGCGAATCATCGCGAATCTACGCAAACTGTTTCCAATGTGAGTTTCTTTGATGAGCAAAGGGCGTTTGCATCGCTCATGTAAGATATTTTTTCGTGTGTGATATGCCAGCTTTGAAGTGTTGCCAGTGCATGCCAGTGCCAGTTTTAGAGTTTTTTTCCAATTTTCTATGATATGGTGAACTGCATGGGGACTCGCAGCCGCAGAAACAGACACCGACCCCGACAACAAGGCGCACCCACCCCAAACATCTCCCAAGCCGATCCAAAACCGCAAAACCGCTTCGCGGGACGGTTGAGAGACTGTCCATTGGATCTTCGCCAGGCCATGGATCCGACCTCGAGATCAGGTCGACCTCGAGCGAAGTCGGAAGGTCCTGATGCGAGTGACGTGCGGGCCTCCGCCCTGGTGTCTCACGAATTGTAGTTCGTGTTTCCCCCCTCCGATCACACCCCCCCCCAGTCCCTCAAGTTCACAGGGATTGGTATGAGGGGCGGCTGGTCCATATATGGTCCAGCATTCGGAGAATGCTTATGTTCAGCAAAAGCGCAGTGGCCAAAAAAACGCAGATGATCGTTGGTTTGGATTGGAAGCTCGAGTTTGAGTATGGGGCAGCGTGATATAGCATGAGCTTCCTCACGAGTGACTGCACCGTTGTCGACACAAGGTTTTCCGGTGTTGGCCACAGCAGAATGTTTCAGCTTCCTCGGTCTCCAAAAGTCCGTGGGAAACTCTTAATTCGAACTTCAAGAGTCCCGAAAGCCCAAGGCTTTGCTGCAGGCTCGCTGTTTCATGCTGTTTCCAGGAAACGAGTATCACGAGTCGACTGGGACTTCGAAGACCTGGGCGCCAGGAGTCGATTGGACCGTTATTGGCGTGGAGCACCCTCGTCCGCACGTCGTGGACTTCTCCACACGACAAACCATCGACCACCAACTTCCGACCCACTTCCGAACTTGTGACCGTTGAAGAGAAAAAAGGGCGCCGGTGATCTCGAGTTCGGATGGGGTATTCACAATGATAAGGTCATGATTCGTAAGGTTTTGTATTTCCAAACCAAGAATACACTGGACCCTCCAGTTCCTACCCTAGAAAATGAAACATATATGACCTAAATCAAGAAACTGCCTGGTACTTTTCTGGGGCACCATGAACTCCGAGGTACAAACAAATCGACTCCAACTAGGTCTATGCATATGTATGCATGCTGGGGATCCCTATTGAATTTGAAGGTCACCAAGGAATCCTGCCAGCTGAAAACCTATATCCAATCGAACGAATTTTGATCAGAAACATTGGTGCTTCCTGCCAAATGCTAACCTTCATCCGGATCTTACTTTGTGAGCTTTGTGGCTGTCAACGATGCATCTCGGAGCCATCTTCTCTGTTCCATGCCATGTGTCTTGTTTGCATGAAACCTGCGTGACATGAGCCTGGTCCTTCAGTTCGTGACCCAGACTGAGATCCCAGCTGGAGGTCACTTATAAACAAGCAAGCATCCAAAGGGTCACTTAGGTACCACCAAAAGGTCCTTTTGAAGAAGCTGGATCACACATTCCATTTTATGGGTGTTTTTGCACCACTCAGCCGTATTTCTATTTTTGCGTGTATGTTTGGTCGGAAGGTTGTATAGACTTGATAGCGTATTGGGGCAACTTTGAACGAGATGTGCGAGATGTTGCAGGTGTGCGAAATTTGGGAGGAATGTGGCGCATGAGGGCCAGCTTTTTGACAGCCATCATAACCATGGCCCTTAAACATGTTTTCTTCCACAAACTGCTTTATAGACATACCCTGCCAGGTCTAGCTGATCTCAGTGTGCCTTTGAAAGAGACATAATGAAAAAGGTATGTTGCAATTGCAGGTTTGGGCCCCACACATATTATATATATAATTATATAATTAATTAATCATTAGATATCAGATATTCTACATTATTCTACTATCACACACCTAAAATGACTGCTACTCTTATTCGCATAAGATCTACACGAAACGGGGTACCAGCACCACTGAGTTCGGGCTGTTTGACACCCTAGACAATGTATTTTCCCTCCCAAAACCACCCCCCAAATCCGTGGTGCTGTGATTTTTTGGACTACACTACTTCAAGGGAGCCATGCCATACACCCACTTGCTTGTAATAAGTAAGGGTCTTGTCATAAGAGCTGGGGGTGTAAGGAAAACACTGCAGTGCGCAAGGTTGCGTAAGCTTTTTGTGTCGTGTAAGGTTTTTTGTGTCAGTTGTTTTGCAGTTCATATTTGATGTGAGAACAGATTTGGTTGAGGAGGTCTGCGGTGTTTACTAGAACAGGAACCTCACAAAAATCGAGGAGAGTCACGGCACGTTCCGCGTAAGGCGCGCGTAAGCTCCGCGTAGTAGGCAGCGTGTAAGTCTCATGTGCGTCCGTGAGTAGCAGCCCACATGGCTCCCAAACCCAAAGAATTTGCCAACACTGGCCCGAAAATATACAAGTCTTCTCATGTATGCCAACACAAAACAGGTCCATAGAGGAGAAGTTCTTGGACTCTTGGCGGTGTCCATGAGGCTTGGTGGTGCACTGTCGTGTCTGGTCTGTGGCACACCGTGTGGCCAAATGATGTTTGTGATGTCGCTGCGCCGTGCGGTTTTGAGCGGCCTCGGTGGAGAGTGCGCTTGCGTGAGTCCGTGCCACTGCGGGAGGGAACGCATGCTTCTCCAAGTAACAACTCTTGAAGCCCTATCGTTGTACAAAGCACGTTGCGTAAGCCTGTTCCTAGCGGATTGGCAAAAAGTCTGCGAAGTCTGGCTGCGTAAGAGTGGCGTAAGCATCCACTTGCCCCCACATGCCGCGTAAGAAAACCTGTGGAGTGCGTAAGCGAAAAACCTATGTGTTGCGCAAGCACCCTCTTACGACATAGGAATCTATCAAGGTTTCCAGCACAGCTCAAGGGACCTCCAGGCAGGACACCAGGTACACATTTCGTTCATTCGGCGGGCCCTGCGTTGCCAGGGACATGACAGACGTCGACTGAGCGCGGAGCCGCTCACGACGTGCGCTCAGCAAGAACCTCTACAGGGGGCTATGAATCCCTAGGGCTTCAATTATAACCATATCCTCAGGTGCCACCCCAACCATCGAACCTCAGGAGGTGGTTGGAGCCCCAGGGAATATACAGACAGCCTTTTGATCGACAGCCTTTTGATTTGCAGGGAGCCTGTAGGATGCTAAAACATTTGTGGCTCCAACCCATAGGATCATAGGGTCCATGTAATTACCTCCTTCTCGGAGGGTCGGTCTTGGAGGTGGGTGCAGTATGCGTACTACCTCCAAAGAAAGGTCACAACCACTGGAGCGGTTGGACACGTCTGGAGATCCGAGAAATGGAGGTTCCTGGACCCTCAAGTCTCTCCATGTCTCTACAAACCACCCAACAGTCTACTCCCGGTGCCTGCAAGTCTGCCAGACAAACCACCCGCGATGCAGAACGGACCCGACCATTGGTGGTACCCTGACCCGCGTTGAAAGGACCGGGGGAGTAATCAAGAAGGACATGGCTGTCGAAAAGGATGTGCAGCAGAGAGATGGAAGGGAAAACATGGCGGGAGTTGGGAGAGGTCTATATATCATCGCTGGTTCCTTTACGTGTAGAGGTGCCTTCTATATATCAGTAGGGTCATGAGTAGTGTTTCAATTGCTGGATTCTTTGGTTTGTCCAGATGACTCAAAAAAACAATTAATGTCGACGTTGGATTAAAACCCCCCCTTCAAGGTCAACAAGGTCTTCAAGGCTTGAGATTGGAGGTATTGGAAACCACATCCCCCCAATAAAGGTGATGATCGATTAGTTAATTGAATTAAGCAATCAATAATAATGCACAATGCACCATGATGCATGCTTTAATTTTCTTGGGCAGATGGGCTTGATTAATAGGGGATGTGCTTGCCAAGGATGATTCTTATTAGAGTGAGGGAGGTGAATGTGGAAATGTAGGTGTTAAACTTGTTTAAATCTATTATTGGGCGCTCGAGATGGCCTTGATTAACAAGGGGAGGTTCACTAATCCTATTTGATGCGTGTGCCGAGATCTGGTTAGAGAGGGAACTCCTGGCATCATCATGTAGCATGACAGCCCTCCACGAAGCACATCCGTGACTTAAGAGTGGAATTGAAATGATTGAGAATTCGGGTGTATCGTGGTTTCGAAGGCGTCGATGATCCATTTTAGGGCACAGACATACAGCTGTTTGAAGTGACAAGTGATAATCATAGTTCACTTCTTACTGGTTTTGTGCGTCTCTATAATACGTATAACACATATATATATATATACATAATTATATATATATATCCATTTCCATTGTGCCAGATTGTGTGGCTCCTTGATGAGCTACGCATTTTTTCTTCGGCCTCCGGCCTCCAGCAGGCATCAGCTGGTGTTGTCGATCCAGCCAGCAGATGTCACCCAGTTTGGTCCACCCGAGGAGTTGGAAGAACGACTCCAAGCATTGCTGGCGGCCAACAACGAGAAGCTCATCCAAAGGCCACTCAACGTGCAGCACTTTCCCGGGTGGTCGTCGCTCGGAAACTGGGTACCAGTACAAGTACTGGCCATCTCCGAGTCATGTCCCATGTTCGAATGTATTTTGGAGTCCAGGAGGATACCAAGACGCGACTCCTGGACTACCTCGAATATTGGTTCCTGTTTTTTTTTTTTGATGGGGTCATGCATATGGGATCCGCCAGGGTCAGTGAAGCTGGATGACCTGCCAGGAAGTGCCAAGAACGTTCGGCGGATGTTTGTAGCTGGTGAAGCTGGATGTTCAGCCTCCAGGTCCATGGACTTTCATGCCCTATAGGGATCCAGTCGTACCGAACCTCAGGTCCAGTCGTACCGAACCTATAGGGATCCAGTCCATCTTCTTATAGCGCACACATGCCGCGATTGGATCCGGCGGTTTGGCGCGGCTTTTCGGACGTTTTTTGGTCTCGGTGATGGAAGCAGCGTTGATTCTTTAGTTTTTTAGCCTGGACTGAATAATATATACACTGCATACATTTGGACCATCCAGTTCATACCCTAGAAAAAGGGACATGACATGGACATGACCTTGTTTTTCCCCCATTCAACACAGGTACGACGTTTTCCCAATTTTCCGAGGTAATTGAGCTGAACACGCATAAACACACTGAATATTCCTGCCTTCAAGGGGTTGTAGGGCCATTTCGGCACGGAGTCGTGCTGAGCTGGAGCGTGATGACCCCAAAAGATTCCCAAACTGAAACTGCTAATCTGGGGTGTATTTCTAATAGTTGAATAGTTGATTTTCAAAAAATATCGATTTCCCTTTAGTTTACCTTGTTCCTTCTGCCACCCCCTTCTCAGCAGCTGATGCTTCCATAGGGTGGATCTTCACTTCACATTGGTCCTTGGTACAATGATGTCATTGTAGCTCAAGTACTGACAAGATGACAAGTGAAGGATGTTGATGTCCCTCATTGGGTCTAAACAAGCCAAGTCTATAGCCCTTTGGATGTGTTGTTTCATGTTCTTTCAAATCCGTAGGGTAGGCAACAGTTGCTGGAAAGGATGTTCACCAAATGTTCTACCACCGACATCCGGATAGGACTGTGAGTCACTGAGTCGATATTAATGGAATTGGCATAAATCCAAGCACATGCATGAGTCAACAAAGCCATGTCACTCTCAGGGTAAGATTCTACTGGAACTAGTTCGGACTGCACTTGTGGGTCAGTATCGGGCAAGTCCAGCATCCGTTGGTAGTTGGCTGAGTTAAAGGATGTTAAAGGTGCAGGTTGTGGGAGATTGAATTTACTGACTGTTGAATTAACAGTAATCAAGATTTCATCACCCCTGTAAAGCATCCTCCATCTATGCTTCGGGCCACTTGCCTAACAATCCTGACTGAAGTCCGGTAGTCATCCAGCAGCCTTCTTCCTCATGACAGCGCCTGCAGAAGCAAAGAGGCAGCAAAGCTGAAGCATCAGAAAACCATCACCAGCTGCACTGAATCCTTTTTAATCAGCTTCAATCACAGGATCATATCCGGGGAGCTGGACAAAGTGCTCAGTGGATTCATGTCTTAAATCAATTATCAAGCCAGGGACTGTTCTAAAAAATATCTGGAGATTATGGGATAGACTAGGTGTATTTCTAATAAACAGTGTTCTAACAGGGTGCGACCGTCGCACCCTGTTAGAACACTCACTGACGTGAGCGAGTGTTCTAAGGACACCCTGGATTCGCTGGAGCTGACTTAATCTTGCGTCCGTCGCAAAGTTTTCCAGCGAAAGACACAATCTTTGCTCAGGTCCAGCGAAATCAGACCCCCCCTTAGAACACTCACTGACGCGAGCGAGTGTTCTAACAGGGTGCGACCGTCGCACCCTGTTAGAACACTGTTTATTAGAAATACACCTAGTCTATCCCATACGCTCCAGATATTTTTTAGAACAGTCCCTGGCTTGATAATTGATTTAAGACATGAATCCACTGAGCACTTTGTCCAGCTCCCCGGATATGATCCTGTGATTGAAGCTGATTAAAAAGGATTCAGTGCAGCTGGTGATGGTTTTCTGATGCTTCAGCTTTGCTGCCTCTTTGCTTCTGCAGGCGCTGTCATGAGGAAGAAGGCTGCTGGATGACTACCGGACTTCAGTCAGGATTGTTAGGCAAGTGGCCCGAAGCATAGATGGAGGATGCTTTACAGGGGTGATGAAATCTTGATTACTGTTAATTCAACAGTCAGTAAATTCAATCTCCCACAACCTGCACCTTTAACATCCTTTAACTCAGCCAACTACCAACGGATGCTGGACTTGCCCGATACTGACCCACAAGTGCAGTCCGAACTAGTTCCAGTAGAATCTTACCCTGAGAGTGACATGGCTTTGTTGATTCATGCATGTGCTTGGATTTATGCCAATTCCATTAATATCGACTCAGTGACTCACAGTCCTATCCGGATGTCGGTGGTAGAACATTTGGTGAACATCCTTTCCAGCAACTGTTGCCTACCCTACGGATTTGAAAGAACATGAAACAACACATCCAAAGGGCTATAGACTTGGCTTGTTTAGACCCAATGAGGGACATCAACATCCTTCACTTGTCATCTTGTCAGTACTTGAGCTACAATGACATCATTGTACCAAGGACCAATGTAAAATGAAGATCCACCCTATGGAAGCATCAGCTGCTGAGAAGGGGGTGGCAGAAGGAACAAGGTAAGCTAAAGGGAAATCGATATTTTTTTGAAAATCAACTATTCAACTATTAGAAATACATCCCAGTAATTCAGTATTAGTTATGACTTGCTTGACCATAGACAACATCGGTTCTGTTTTGGTTCATCTAGACTCTCTTTTCACACCATTTTAAGTTCTTTTGCCTGCTCAGCTTCTTAGCATCAGTTCCAAATCAGGGTGGACAAGGTCGTCTTGGTCGCCCACTCTGCAACCTTCAGGTTGGTCATAATATGTGCGTATCAATACGCGTATAAGGAGCCGTATAAGGGCCCAAAAGCAGCCCGGAGCATCCAACCACCTGGGTGTGGCTGGACTACGCGAGATCGGCCATACCCAAAGGAGGATCTTCCAAGTCAGATAGGTTTTTAGACCCACCAGATAGACTTCAACAGGAAGTCTATCTGTTTTCAACCAGACTTCAACAGCTGGTTTCAAGGACTCTGCGGACCCGACAGGGCTGGGGTGCGACTCAGGATTACCCGCACGCTGGCGCCGGAGTGGATCTCCGATGGGGAGACGGTCTCCGAGGCGAGGACGGTCGCAGTCCGGTTGGCAAAGCCCATAATACACCATAAGGGTTAACCTTTTTTACAGGGAAACTGAGGGAGACACCTGAGAGCTCCATAGAGCTCCGTTGATTTTGGAGAACGTAACCTGCATTCCGGTCACAGAATCAACGTCATTCCCTAGCTTGGATGCAAACTGAAGCTATAGTGGACCCATGGCCGGATAGAAGGGCTCATCCACAAGTTCACCCGTTCCTTTCTTGATTTGATACTTCCTGACTACATCCTTCCTTGATTTGCAAAGCATCCCTTGCCGTGTGGCCCGGAAGTGGTTTTGCTCGTGCTTTCGTCCACCCCAGGCCACGGAGGAGGTGTCGACACTGCAACCTCCTAGCAAAGGGCCGTCCCTGCGCAGCGGCACGGTAGGCGACCGGTCGGTTGGGCCGAAACGGAGCGGAGCGACTGGTCGATGGGTTGGGAGGACTCGTCAAGGTCACGAGGTGGGGCTGCAAGGTGAGGTGACGTGGGACAAATCCTGGTGACGGTGGCTGTGGGATAGGTTGGTGGTCTTCCGGGCATTCCGGGCTTTAGGAGCCTTTGAAACACCGGGATTGGTTGGAAGGTGCTGGCAGGATTCACACTAAGAGCAGGAACATTTAGGATTCACCCCTGCCTGTGTGTGCGTGGCACAAATATACAGTATAACATTGGGGTACTCATGAAGCGGGCGGATCAAAAAGAAGAGGACCCCTTTAAATTGAAAGACCAGTGGGAAGACCAATCTTGAAAAGGTCACTATATTTGGAAGGGTACTTAGAGACCTCTGGCACCTGCAGCACAGGAACGAGAACACCATGGACAAATCGGGATGCACTACCTAAGCCTAGTTCTAGCTGTTGTTGGTTGGTACGTGCATCGCGTTTCTCAAGGAGAACCTAAAGGGTGTGTAATTACTTTTGGCTGAAAGGGCTTGGCTGCATTTGGCTTGCTGGGTTTTGGGGTCGCCCACGGCAATAAGATGTTCAATTTTTAGTCAATGCAAGGCTATCATTTGTCACATACAGTCTTGAACATGAAGAAACGTGGCTGCGTGTCTTTTTCAACCGTCATGACATCCATGCAAAAAAGACGACAACACTTTTTGGGGGGGCCCAAGAAGATGCCCGTAGATCCCTGCCCCTGGTTATTTTTCAATCTTCTTCATGTTGGCGTCCAATATTGGAGCCCTTTGAAGAGGGGGTGTTGGTGGAGAGTATCAGCCCAATTCCAATCCTTTAAGCTTCAGATTGAGGGGCTGCTACCAACAGGGTCATAAGTACCGGTACTTGTTCATGGAATGTCCCATATCCCGTATCAGCTCTAGGGCTCTAGGGTGACCCCATCACATCTCGTTTGTTCCTACCTGGCAGACCGCACCAGCGGCACTTCAGCAGTCAGTGGCTTGGCAGCCGGTGTTCCGCAGGATTTGGCAGAAACTCATGGCAGACGCTGGAACCTGTTCTCAGAACAAGGGGAGCTGGATTGAGCTCAATCCATGCTCGACTCATGATCCAGCAACTTTTTAAGTGATCGTTTTCGGGGATGACAGGGTCTCATTTTTTATCTATACAGTCTATACAGTCTGAAACATGGTTGCTTGTCTTTTTTTACCGTGATGACATCCATGAAAGTCCCTGTTCCTTTCCGTAGACTTTGTCCAGTGTTCCCTGCCCCTCCCGTATTCTTCAATCTTCTTCATGTTGGCGTCCAATTTGGAGGCCTTTGAAGAGGTTGTGTTGGTGGAGAGTATCAACCTAATTCCAATCTTTTGGCTTCAGATTGAAGGGCTGCTACCAATAGGGTCATGTTCAGGGTACAGGTAGTATGTTTGTCTCCATTGTTTTTTTGGGGGACTTCTGTTGGACTTCGCACCATTGATCATGCAAGGATCACGCAAAAGTGCCTGGACTTCTCCCAGTACCTGAAAGAATTGTTGAATGCAAGTCGACCAGCACATTCCTTTCAAGGTCTCCAAAGACTAGCCTATACTACTTGTGGATCTCCATTGAGCACCCTTTTGAAGCTTCAGGCAAGTACCGGTAATTACTCAAGTACTATATTTATATACAGTATATAACGGACCTGTTTCAATGAATTTCCCATGTTCGATATCAGCTTGAGGGTGACCCCACGACATCTCGTTTGTTCCTACCTGGCAGACCGCACCAGCGGCGCTTCGGCCGTCAGTGGCTTGGCAGCCGGTGTTGTGGGGGATTTGGCAGAAACTCATGGCAGACGCTGGAACCTGTTCTCAGAACAAGGGGAGCTGGATTGAGCTCAATCCATGCTCGACTCACGATCCAGCAACTTTTTAAGTGATCGTTTTCGGGGATGACAGGGTCTCATTTGTTATCTACAGTCTATACAGTCTGAAACATGGCTGCTTGTTTGTTTCTAACCGTGATGACATCCATGAAAGTCCCTGTTCCTTTCCGTAGAATTTGTCCACCCGCCTCTCATTATTTGCAGGGTTTGTAGACTTCTTCAATCTTCTTCATGTTGGCATCCAATATTGGAGCCCTTTGAAGAGGGGGTGTTGGTGGAGAGTATCAGCCCAATTCCAATCCTTTAAGCTTCAGATTGAGGGGCTGCTACCAACAGGGTCATAAGTACCGGTACTTGTTCATGGAATGTCCCATATTCGGTATCAGCTCTAGGGCGACCCCATCACATCTCGTTTGTTCCTACCTGGCAGACCGCACCAGCGGCGCTTCGGCCGTCAGTGGCTTGGCAGCCGGTGTTCCGGCGGATTTGGCAGAAACTCGTCATTGTCATGGCAGACGCTGGAACCTGCTGTGCTAACAAGGGGAGCTGGATTGAGCTCAATCCATGGTGGGAGTCTGAAAGTACCTGATTCATCCTAGGGCCATACTGGGCCACTTTTCCCATGTTCGTTGCACCCAGTGGTCCTGTTTCGGGTCCGTAACGTGGTCTCTCAAAGTCCGATGCTTTGAAGTCCGAGCCCAACTTGTTTCCAGGTGACCTGGATCCTGTTAGGCTCCTTCCAGACTTGGATCGTCAAGTCTAAAGGTCATGACGTATACGGTATTTGAGACCCCAACAGGGTGGTTTCTGGGCACCCTCATCACCCAGAAACACCGATCTGGGACGTTCCGGGTACCCAGGTTCGCCCATGAGGCTGCCCCCGGTTCGGTCGGGGACACCCTGAATCACCTCGATGGTGGTCCCCAAATAATAGATAATGAGGATAGTGGCACGGTGTCCAATACATTGTTGTAGTAGTGGGTATGTACATGTTATTTCTATACATATTTGGGGGTTTATTACATGTCGATGACTATGTCGAGATATTGTAAAGAGCCTAAACGAACAAGACCCATGGCATGCATGGCCCGGTGAAAAGCGCCAGCATCCATCACCCAGCGACCGAGGAGCGATTCCGGGGATACCGGAAGCTCTGTTTTGGTGGTTTTTTGGGGTCGGAATGGGTGGTAAAAAAGCAACATTCCTCACCATAAAAATGGTCCTTCCAAGAACCCAAAATCCGTGGTGCTGGCTTGTGTTTAATCGTTGTTTCGGGGCTCATTTTGATAATTTACGTATCTGATGTTTCGATGCCACTCCGAGATTATTCTCGGATCTCCTTGAGTCAATCCCCATCTTTTGAATCCTGGACATGGTTTTGCGGAGAAAGGGTGATTGTTTCGTTTTCCCGAACTGGGTGAATCCCCTGAGCGTGGGAAATCTGTTGTTTTTTCTCCTCCCCCCAGTTCCACAGCGGATCTGAGTGGATTAGAAGATGGTGGGACTGGTATGGGTTGGAGCTTGGATGGAGGGTTTCACCACCAAGCGCACCAAGTTGATTGTCCTGTAGTCCTGTCACTCAGATCCATTTTTGTCCTGGGCCTCTCCGTTCAGGTCACCCCTCAGTATCCCACAACGCCTCGGCGGAGACCGTCAATGTGGATGAACTGGAAGGGATCAATGAAGAAGAGGAAGAGGAGGGTCCAGAGCAACGCGACTCTTGACATGTCTGTTGGATCTTTTGGTGTGCGACGTCGTGCATTTGTTGTTAATGTGTGGTGGTTTGACATGAAAGGGTGAAGATAAACAGATAGGCACAAAAGCAGAATGTCTCCGATTTTGGTGCAGCGTTTCTATCGCACTTTGATTTGCTTGTTGCGCAGCCGAGAGCGGTGGTCGACGATCCAATCCGTTGGGGTCCAACGCTGTAGCCTGCAGCTGCGATGCTGGTTCTGTGGGGTAGATTGATCTGTTTTTGATGGTTTCAATGTGGGCTCCCACAGAACTGTGGTTGCTATAGAACTAGCAGGTACGTATACAGTGAGACCTTGAGGCATACATGCCTGGATTAAGAACCGCAACTATATCAGAATAGGCAGGAAGTAGCGGATGACCCCAGAGCTAAAGCTCCAATCGAGAACACGTAATTAATGTCAGTTGGGAGTGGACTCGACCCCCTGAACTGGAGCTTCTACTCATTTTACCAATTTTGTTTGGGAGGATAGGATCCCATCATTCGACTCGTGCCCACTTGCAGTAGCTGGTCAAAAGACACATGCAGTACCATGACCTGAATATAGTGCCCACGTTGCAAGCGACGGTCCATTCATGTCCGTTCCGTTCCAACCCTTATGGATCCATCAGTGGTACCCAACCTGAGAAGGTGGCAGTGGATCCTGAGTTAGGGCTCCAAGTACCTTCTGAGAAGGTGGCTGGGGTGGGTTTGGAGGGTCCAAATGCCTTTTCAGGAGGTACTTCTGGAGCCCTAGAGAAAGGTGAAGGTGAAGGTTCCGACATGTTCCGACCAAAAAAGATCAAAAAAGCATGGTTTTACTAAGGATTTTCCACTACAAACCAGCTCAAGCATTTTTTCTAATGCCCTTAATATTCCTCCAACCCCTTCCAGTCCAGAAGAGTCCCGTCCAAGTCACTGACACCGTCGGTTCGAAGCTCCCAAGAACTCAAAAAGCAGACACGCGGTTTGGGACGCAAGGGTTTCTGACTGCACGCCGTTTTCAGGAACACCACACAGTAGCGGGGAGGTTGAACAAGACCTTCACATCTAGCTGGATGCAGCGGACCCTGAAGGTACCCGATATATGGGACATGACACAAAGCAAAACAGGGGTCGTAGCTGTATGATCTTGTACCCATGAACTTCGAGGTACGATCCGAGACTCTACAGGTATAATAAATATATATGGATGGGGTGTGATCCATGTTTGGATGCTAGTTATCATGTCGCTGCGCGCGGCAAGCACCAATAAATCACATCCGATGCCCTCTTTCTGGAAGCCCGCGAAAGAGCGGGAGTTGTTAGGATATACAAATATATATATATACACTGTAAATCACCAGGACCAACCATTTCGGGTAGATTGAACATATCTGAACATTTCATAGTCAGGGCGTGGTCTGCAAACCAGCTGGAAAATAGGCATGTTGTATGACATTGTTCTTCTTCTCAGGAGCGCAAGATGCGGCAATCGATCACTTCGTTAAACTCCGCCGACGAGCATCTCGGCGCGCAGTTGGTGGAGACGTTTGGAGACCGATCCAGCGGTTTTTGGGTGTTCCGCCAAACATGAACTTGATGGGGTGTCACATTTTTCAAGGCTCTTCACACATAGAGGTGATTCGGGGTGTCCATGCACCACCCCAAACAGGTGGCTTTGGTACCTGGACCCTCCAACAAGTACGTACGTGTTTCCTGGTGACAAGTACCCAGCAACAACCTGTTGGTGTCTAAAATGCCATTGGTTGGAAGGTCCTTGATGACGGCCTCAATTTGGGGTGGATACTGCCGCCCTTGAGATTGTGTTCTTCAAGTGCAGTGCAACCAGCGTGTTCTTTTGTCTATTTTACTCAGCACCACCATCCCTGCCCCGGACGGTTGCTATATGTTGCCATTTTCCGGTTCAACCATGTGGACCAGTCGATTCAGATTCTCTGTGGATACGCCTGAGAGGCTATTGAAAGGAACATACATCGTCAGGGGTGTTTATACCACCCTTTCCATGGTGCCGGGAATCATCCTGCACTGCTGTTGTGGCTATTGATACTTACTATTTTCCCTGTCGATGAATTCCGTTTTGGGGCATGATTGGTTTGCTTCCCCCAGTTCCTGCGACTGGGTCGTCGCGCGAAAGCCAGTCGCGCTTCCCTCAACAGCCAGCCAGTGACCCTCATGTATCCCATCTTTGGAGAACACAGCTGGAGGCTGTGCTGTGTGTGAGCTGAAATAGAACATGATGCCAAAGAAGGTAGGTTGCCATGTTCCAAGGTTCAGGCTCTTGTGGCTCCGAGTCAAAAAAGCTGGGCAGATTGCGCAACAAAATCCTGGACCCCCGAGTGCGTAGCCTTGAAACCGGGATAGTGGCCCCGCAAGGGCCGATCATTCAAAACAATTATATATATATATAAAGAACTATTGAACAACAACACAACAGTACCCTACAAGTCCAAATACCGAGTAAAACCTGGTCTTTTACCTCCTTAAGTATTGGTTTTGTATGACCATCTCCAGTAAAATGAAATCTTTGACTTGTAGGTGTATCATAACATTTTATAACTAACGATGTTTGTTTGTTTATATAATCATAAGGCCGGGAGCGAAGTCTTAGACCAGTCGAACCGGTCAACTTCGCTCAAAAGGACCAGTTTCGGTCGCGTTGTCTCGGTCTCCGTGGATGATTTTCTGGAGATTCCTCCAGGTGCCTCGGCTTTTTCCGACGAAACAGTGTTGATCTTCGTTGTTGTCTCTGTTTGGGATTGGGTCTCCCTCCCACTGAAACGATGGCTTGGTTTGACCGGGATTGGCCAGAACAAAAACGGCTCGGGAGTCAGGAGTTGCACTGTCCCAAGTTGTGACCTGGTCATCATTGGGCAAGTCTTCGGACTTTGACACACGGGGATGGGTCAAAACCTGGAGCCCCAACACCATGTAGCTTGACCTTCCAGGCAGGTCAACCAAGGTATGCTGGCTTTGACCCACAGCCACATCATTGATGGTGTCACTTGAGTGCTGCTGTCCAGGCGCGCCTACAAGTCAGCACTCGTGAAGCAGCAAGACAGAGACCTGGACCCTGCTTCAACAGCTATTGCTGTTTTTGATTTCGATTTGGCTAGGCTCTCAATACACCACCCACCCTCACTGGATTGTGTTGTTTGATTTTTTTCTCACTTGTCATATTATAACAACATTGTGGTTCCCATTTTGAGGTTATCCCCAGACAAAATACAGCTGACCAAGAAATGAACATCATCCATCGTAGCAGTGGCAAGAAGAACCGCATCAAAAACACAATGAACAAACAATGCAACAACATGAGACACATTCCAGGACCATGGAAAGGGTGGTTTATGGACACCCCTGACTATCTATGTTCCATCCAACAACCACCCCTTCTGCGGTGCTGGTTGAAACACGTGAACTCTTCACATCCATTATACCTAATCCATCCAGAATCCTCATCCCGCTGGAGGACGGATCTCAGGGTGGATTTTACGGATAAGTGCCTTTGAGGGGCACACAGAAGTCCCCTGATAGGGGTTACCTTGACCTAGACTACCCCCCTAGGAGGGGATGAATCCGTATGATTTCCAAGAACATGTCTGTGCTTTTCGACCAAGCTGATTTGCAAGCACAGACATGTGCAGTCCGGATCGGCCAATGTTTGACTTCCAGATTTCGGCACCCACCAGTTTTTCTTTTGTTGTGAGTTTTTCAGCCTGGAGCCTCAAAGTACCTGGGAAAATTGCTACGAGTACCTGTTTGTTTTGGGGTTCATGGGGTCATGTCCCATTATATCCCATTTGTTTATGTACGTTGCCACATATTTGTTTTTTCCCCAATCTTCGGCACCCAGTGAGTCGCCACGTGGCACGAGGGCAGCACCGACGCGATCAAGTCTTAGCGTCCAGCGGCAGCAGCGGCTTGAGCAAAGCCAAGGCGGTTTCGAGCGGCGTCGGAGAAGCAGCTTGAGCATTTCGGTCTTTGTTTGTTCGCTTTGTGTTGATTTTGAGAAGAGAGCACAAAGGAAGTTTCACTGAAGAAGTGTGAGCGTTTGGAGGTTTGTGTGAAGGTGTTCTTATACTGGAGCCTCCTTTGGTAGACTGGGAAAATGTGCAGAAAGATATCTAGATCTTCCCGCAGTTCTGCCCTTTGGCTGGTTTTTGCACAGTTGGAAGATCCAGGTATGCCAACTTTGTGATTTTTGGGAGGGTCCCTTCAAGGTGCGCAAGATCCGCAAAACCAAAAACGGCCCACTTAGAGTTGTCATTGATCCCAGAAGTTCAACAAGGCCACCACTGTGGATCTCACCATGCAAAGTGTCAGCATATGAATACATAGGCCACAGGATGCCACAAAAAGCATTTGCTCATTTCAATCATTTCAACTAGGATAGCTTGAAGAAACCGGCAGTGACCAAAGCATCAGGGTTGTGTCCGAAGGTTCCCTCGCTGGAGCAGAGAACAGCATTCTCCAAAACCCGCAGTTGGTGCCCATCGGAACATCTCGGCCCTCAAGTTGGTGGTTCATGGACAACCCGAATCACCTCTTCTCAGGGGCTTTTAGTAGACACCCCTCACAAAGCTGTGGGATATGATATGTGTCTATACCCGGGAAAATGGGAGTTTCATTGATCAGAGGGGATCTCATTGAACAGAAGCATGGAAGTGATTTAGATTGATCTACACTCAAAGAACTCAATACTCTAGGTTTCCGCCTGTATGCTTTGTATTTGGCACACGCTGACATCTTTGGATCCACCTGTGAAGCAAACACACATATACTGATGAGGATTGGACACCCATGCATATGCGTCCTCAGAAATGATCCACTTCAGGTTGAAAACAGTGCCACAGCAAATTCAGACCCTGACTAAAATTTCCAGCCCTGGTGGTAAAGTCAGGATTTTCTTCTGATGCCTAAAATAGTGAAGGCCTAGGATAGTGAAGGCTTAGGAAGACCAAGGTACACGTACCTGTCATGTCCCAGTTCCTAAGGTACGAACTGAAGGGTCCAGGTAGCAGTGTAAGACAAGACACAGCTGGTGCCACCTCGCCAGGAGACCTGTTTGGAAGCGAATCGCCGTGTGGTGGCTTCCTGGTCTTTCGAGCCTCGATCTCGACCCGTTCGGTCGACGCGTTCCGGTCGACCGTTCTGGACCCGTTCGGTCGACCGTTCCAGGCGTGGACGGGAAGGGCTTCGTTGGGACGGACACCTCCGGGGTCAGGTCGAGGGTGGACGTTTCTTGGGAGACGGCGACGTTTCGGTCGCAACATCCTCACCTGTTGGACATCAAGTCCGCGAGAGAGATGTGTGCATCACGGGTGAGGGTTGTTGTATACATCGTCCAGGTGTCTTTTTTACCACCCTTTCCATAGTGGTGAAACCAATGGACACCTCTTCACCTCCAAGGCTATTAAACGACACATAAAGACAGCCTTTTAGGACCTGTTGCGTGTACCCATTTTCTGAGGTAGATCATGGTAGAACCTCGAGAGTTAATGTCTTTACTGAGGGGACCAACAAGTGCGGCCAAGGCTGAAACTCTACTAAAAGCGATGGCCTCCAACCTAAGAGCAAACTATATTATGGACCTTTGTTCCTTTCAAGCATAATTATATAGTGAATATGTGTTTTTCCTCTAGCGATAGCTCCTTGAGTGGAACGAGAAACTGAAAAGACCCACAGGCACATGAGGGTTGATTGTGTGATCACTGTAAGTAATTTCTGGTGAGGTTAAAGCATCTTAAAGCACTCTGAAGCTTCTTCATGTCATTTCTGTGGTTGGAGATTTTTTGGTCGCCCAGTCGGCCTTGATGTTCTTCTCCTTCTCAGCCTTCACTGAGGCTTCCCTCTTACGAGTGAACATTTCAACTCACCTGGTGTTAGGTTTCCTCTCATGTTCATGATCAGTTGTGGCCAGGCATGTCGGAGGTAAACCTGCCGGACTGGATGTACTTTCGCTCCAAGCACCACCCTGCCGCCCCTGATAGGCCTTTTACTTGATGCAAGCTCATGTGTCATGAGTCATGATGATAGAGTTGGTGCTTGTCAGGTTAATTTCTGTAGTGGGTTAAGGATAGCGGTGTGTTTATCCACAGTTTATGTTTTCGTCAAAAAATAGACCAATGAAGTGGTGATGTATTCCATGATTCCGCATAGTTCAATCATCTCCACTTCCCAGGCGGATGTTGTCGTTCCCAAAGTCATCAACCACATTGAAACTCATGAGGGGTGATCAGAATGACCCAACACAAGCCAGGAAGCTGACCTCCAATTTGATCTTGGACAGGTTCAGCCTGCTGATTCCGTTTAAAGTCCCTTTTGAGAGACATGCATTGAAGTGCAATGTTCTGATCCCAAAACCAGCAAAACCGACTTCCTCCAGCAGATCCGTTTTCCCTGTTCTACTATGTGCACTACAGATTGAGTAGCAGACCCCATTGCGGACCCATGCAGAAGCGGGCAAGCTATACTGTGCCCGCAAGGAGGCTTGTTGGAATTGGATTCCGCCTCGGCTGGATCCTGCTTGACAGGACCCTGTATAAAGATACGTACTTGAAACATGTACTTGCAGGGTCAATTTGGTCGTCCCAAATGTTTTGAGTGTTGGACACCTAAGGAGACGTTCTTTGCCGTTTGCATTTTTTCAAACGCCGTCTTCATCGGTGTGGAAGTCCAATACGCTTCCTTGAACCGTACCTCAAGGCAGCCGACGGGGATCAATAACTGCTGGTGGTGCGGGCTGATTGTTGGTTTGCAAATTGCATAGGTAAAACGGCAAAGATAGGTGAAATATGGAATGGTCATGGAGTAACTAAAGAAGTGAGTAGAAATCATTGCTTCATTCACCAGTGGTGATTTTGTTTACTTCACGAGTCTTGTAAACTTTGGTAAGGTCACATGGAAGCAGCACTTCCCCACGCTAGTAATCACAAAGTTGCTTTCTTTTGCGGAATGATTACTGTAACATCTGAACAGATTGTGCACCAGCATTTCAACCTGGATCCATTGGTTCAAGTGTTCCATTCTAGGCATCCCAACTTCTAGGGCCGCACCCTAGGCATCCCATCTTCTCAGGGCTTGACCGACAAAAACATCGAGTTTGAGGGGGGAATCAAGTGCTGACGAGGCCATGGGACTGACGTCCAGGACGGCGCAAAGGAACGTCCAAGGACGTTTGGGACATGACCCAACCTCACATCTTACGCAAGCTAAAAAAGATCATTCTAGGACTGTTGTTGTCCTTGAAGCTGGCCGGACTGAACTTGCCAGGGAGGTGGGCACGCATGTGCGACACGAAGCTGCCTGGTCAGGTTGCCAGATATCTTCTTCGTCTTGGATCAGACTTATGCCACTTTCCTGCAAGGGGGACATCAAGGGACAATGACGGCCTTCAACGACGCGGAAGAAGGAAACCGCATTGGGCCGTTTTCGAAGACGCACCTGTTTTCTCTACCATGTCAGGTTTGTTATATAGCTGGTTTAACTTAAGGTGCTTTGGGCAGCTGGTTGTTTGTTCCAGGACGTGCAAGGAGACCTCTTTCCAGGACTAAGTGACCACGTTCTGGCATCTCAAAAGGTAACTTTGCACGCTTTGAAGGTCCTGGTGGTTGTTAGGATACATAGCAAAAGGAACCAATGCTGAAACAGAATGCACTTTTGCTGCTTGCGTCAA